CTTACTTCCCCCGGGATGGAGATGTATAACTGAGTATCATCGGCATATTGATGATACCTCATCCTGTGGAGATGGATGATCTCACCCAGCAGTTTCATGTAGATGTTAAAAAGGAGAGGAGAGAATACCGAACCCTGCGGCATCCCATAAAGGAGGGGCCGTGGGCCCAATCTCTCCTCCCCTATCAACACCGACTGGGATTGGCCCTGGAGGAAGGAGGCAAACCAATGCAAGACTACTCCACCCACCCCCAACTCCCTGAGTCGGTCCAGAAGGATACCATGGTCAATGGTATTGAAAGCTGCTGAGAGGTCAAGGAGAGCCAGGATGGATGCACTACCGCCATCCTGCTCCCGCCAGAGATCATCCATAAGTGCGACCAGTGCTGTTTCTGTTCCATATCCGGGCCTGAAACATGACGGAAAGGGGTCCAGATAATCTGTATCATCCAGAATCCTCTGGAGCTGCAGTGCCACCACCTTCTCAACCACCTTTCCCATAAAGGGTTGGTGGGAGACTGGATGAAAATTATCCAGAACAGTAGGGTCCAGCGATGGTTTCTTGAGGAGGGGGCACACCAGCGCCTCCTTAAAGGTCGCCGGGAACACCCCCTCTCTCAAGGATATATTAACCATCGCCAGGACCCAACCACATGTCTCCTCCCTGACTGCCCTCTCCAGCCAGGAAGGGCATGGATCTAAAGGGCATGTGGTGGCATTTACAGTCCAGAGGATCTTGTCCACTTCCTCAGGATCAACAGGATCAAACTGGTCCCAGATAACTCGGCAAAGATGTTCCCCGGGCATCTCACCAGACCATGCCTCACGCTTGGCGTCCAACTTAGAACGGAACTGAGCAACTTTATCCTGCAGATGCTCAGAAAATTCCTCAGCATGGCCCTCTAGATGATTTTCTAAACCCCCTCTCCCCAACAGGGATCGGGTGATTCTAAACAGGGCTGCTGGGCGGCATTCTGCAGATGCAATAAGAGTGGAGAAATACTGACGTTTCGCTGCTCTTACCTCCACAAGTAGGCCTTAACCGCGGCTCTAGCTTGTGTTTGGTCAGGTTCGGTCCTTGTCTTCTTCCAGCGGCGCTCCAGGCGTCTCTTAACCCTCTTCAGAACCCTTAGCTGGTCCATAAACCATGGGGAGCGATGGGTTCGAATGGGCAAGAGAGGCCGCACAGGCACGATCCTGTCCAAGGCCCTGGCCGCCACCCTATTCCAGGCAGCAGCCAGAACCTCCACTGGACCATGCAGCAAGATCTCGGGGATAACCCCCAGCCCCTTCTGAAACCCTTTGAAATAAATTAATCAATTTATTTAATTAAATTATTAATTAATTAAATTATTTTTATTAATTCATTTAAATTAATAATTAGTTTATTAATTAAATTGATTAATTTAATTAATACTATGATTAATTAAATTTGTAATTAAATTATTATAAAATTATTCACAATTAATTTAATTAACTGAAATAAATCAGTTTTTAGGAAGACCAGGACAGTGGGGACCAATCTAATTTCTAATGGGAGACTGTTTGATAAAATAATGCTGCTGCTGCTGAGAAGCAGCACTTACAGTGCATTTGGGAAGTATTCAGACCCCCTTCATGTTTTTCAATTTTGTTATGTTGCAGCCTGATA